TAGGAACAAGTGCCTTACTAGTAGTAACAAGTTACGAATTTAATTAGTGTTGAGAGGCACGCTGTGCGCCACATGTGACATGTCATGTCATGAGTTTCTTTTTCAAACCAACCATATCCCACCGTAGAGGGTGGGCTCGAGAAGCTTGCAAAAAGCTGCGTGTGGCGTTCAGTCGCCTTTGCCCTTAGCTTCGACCTCGTCGTTGCTTCGTGTTCGTTTGCCGTGGACTTCGTGCGCTACGGCTACTTCTCTACATTGGTAGCGGAGCCACCGGTCTGGTGGCTCCCTGCCTGTGCACTCCGCGACTACGAGCTCTTTGTCCTGGTTGAGACCTACGGTGGGTTTGACTGTTCTCGCTCTTGCATGGTGGTTCCTTCTACTCCAGCACTACGCCCGTGCAGAGCCCTACGTCCCTGAGAACGTCACCATGGCCTCGAAGAAGGCCCAACCCGCAGGCTCAGGTCAGAGCTCGAAAGATGGCACGTTCATGGACTTGAGGGACAGTTTCGTGCCGCTGTTTTCCGGCCAGCCGGCCGACTATCGGGAGTGGAGAGCTCGCATCCATCTTTACCACAGAAAGATGGCATTGACAAAGCGGTCGACAGAAAGTGTCCTCAATATCGTGGGCTCCTTCACCGGTGTCACTTGGCGGTTGTTTCAGGATTGGGGGCATGAAGAACTAGAGAAAGGAGAAGCCTTTGAGAAGGTCATTGCCACCCTGGATGCAAACTTCGCCTATGACACCAAAGTTCAGTTGCCCACTGATTTCGAGTCATACTTCAACTTGCTGCAACGCACCCCCGGTCAAACACTTTTGCTGTTTGTTGCCGATCATGAAGAAGCTTATAGAAAGTTGCAGCAACACCGCATTGAGCTTCCTCCCTCCGTTCAAGGATGGCATTTACTCCGCCGTTCTGGCCTCACCCGTGAACAACGACAGTCATCACCCTTCGTGCACCCAACCTGGAGAAGACTGAGGTGATTGAGGCGATGTACTTGATCCTGGGCCAGGACTATAAAGGTGGTGGATGGAATTCAGAGCGGAACCGACGGTTCGGAGGCCACTCCCCTTCCTGGAAGCATCGTGCCTATGCTGCTGAAGATTATGAGGAAGACCCGCACCAGGAAGATGAAGGATGGGAGTATGGCTACTATGAAGAAGATGAGTCTTGGGCCGATGATCCGCAGACTCAGGACTATGACCTCTACGATGATGGCTAGGACTTCGACCACGACGCTGGCTACTATGGTGAGGAGGATCCCTGGCCTGAAACGGAAGAGCAGCAAATTCCTACACAGATGGCTGCCGCCTACGATGCTGCTTTTGCCTCCTACACGGACGCAAGACGACGGTTTCAGGAATTGAAGACAGCTCGTGGATACCTTCCCATTGTGGCGCTCACTGATGGTGGTAGCACTTCACCCACGGCTACATCACCGCAGTCGCCTACTTCCTGGAGAACAAAAGGAAAAGGGAAGGGTGGGTCAAAAGGTGGAAAGTCCAAAACCACCATCCGATATCCACCACAAGGAGCTGGCAAATCGGACCCCAAGGGACGAGCGAAGGCCAACATGACCTGTCTTCGCTGTGGCCAGCCAGGCCACTGGGCAGCGAACTGCCCCCAATCGTCGTCAAGTCCTTCGGCACGATCAGCTGGTGTCAAACGACCTGCATCGACCACAGAAGCTATGGCTATGACTCCCGCCGCTGAGGAGAGTGCCCTGCTGATCTTCCAAGATGCCACAGGAGCTGAACGTCCCGAGTGCGTCATGTTGGACCCAGGTGCCAGTGCTTTTCTCTCGGGCTATGGACCGTTCAGAAGGTTCCTGGACCACTTGCGCTCCCTGGACTTCCCGATCGACAAGATCAAGATGAGCAAGGGTCGACGTCGATTTCAGTTTGGTGGCGACGCATCCTTGTGGTCCGACTGGTCAGCCCATGTTCCCACCTTCGTGGATGGCAAGTATGGCACAATTGAGTTGTTCCTGCTTCCGGGCAACACGCCCATGTTGTGTGGAAGGCCGATCATCGAGGCCTTGGGCATGACGATGGACTTTGCTCAACGCCGTCTTCGCATTGGAAGCTCGCCCTGGATGTCGGCCACTCTTGGTCGCCAAGGTGAATACCTGTGGTCCCTCACCAATGAGCATGACAATGTCCACTACCACCCGGAGAAGCCGGAGTTTGTGCTCAGGACCAACGACCAGGGCATTGAACAAAGTGATGGTTTCCTGCTCAACGACTTCATGGCCGAGGAACATGGCTTCACCTCCTTCGAGAAGATTGATGAGCCAGTGCACTCACCTTCAACCCGGCCTCTTCGAAAGCATGAGCTGAAGACCATGGACACACAGTTGGCCACTCAGCTGAATGACCTGTCTGCTTATGTCACGAAGGAACTTCATCGTCCTGAACGTCCCCGTATCCTATGGGAGATCTATTGTGGCAAGGCTCGCACTGCTCAGCTGGCTGAAAGTATGGGCATGGAAACTCGCACCTTTTCCTATGAGACAGGGTGGGACTTTGAGCTTCTGAACCATCAGGACGAGTTCATGCGCCTTTTGGAGGAGGAAGCCCCTGATGAACTGTTGATGGCACCAGAGTGCAAGCTGTGGAGCCGCATGCAGACCTTAGGCCGCAGAACTCCAGCCCAGCAAGAAGCACTGAAGGCGGCCCGACACCATCATCATGACCGTCACCTGAGGTTTGTGCGGCGTGTCTACTTGGCTCAGGTCAGTGGAGGAAGACACGTCACAGTCGAACAGCCCAAGAACGCCTTGTCCTGGAACACCCGTGCACTCCGAGATCTACCAGGACGCCGTGCAGACTTTTCTCAATGTCGATATGGTGCTCAATGCTTGGACACCGATGGAACATGGAAACCAGTGCAGAAGCATACATCGCTGCTCACCACCAAGCGCTCGGTTCAAGACGCCATGTCTCTGCAGTGTCAACACGATCACGAGCATTGTCCCTTGGAAGGAGCAGCGCCTGGCTTTGGTTCGAGAACTCGCTACTTGGAGGAGTATCAGCCTGCTTTGGCCGCTACTCTTGCAGCTGCCTTAGCCGTCGATGAGCCTCCTGCCTTCTGGGAGACTGGACATGCTGCCGAAGATGAACGTGAAACCACCAGCTCCCTGGTCAAGCTACGAAGCGAGACCAAGCAGGACGCCATTCGAACAGTCCAGCGCTTGCACCGGAACTTGGGTCATCCTTCACCACAGGCCCTAGGGGAGCTACTGGAAGCCAGAGGAGCCTCCGAGGCCATTCTGCAAGCAGCCAAGTCCTATCGCTGTCTGGCTTGTGCTAAGTACAAGAAACCGGCTCAGGCCGCTCCAGCATCTATGCCCACGACAAGCCAATTCAATGAGGTGCTACAAGCTGATGTCATGTGGCTTCGTCGCGGCACTGTGAAGTATGCCATCATGAGCCTGGTCGACAGTGCGACTCGCTATACAGCAGCCTCACTCATTCAGTCCGAGCACACTGACAACTATGTCAAGGCCCTGGAGCGTACTTGGATTGCACACTATGGTCCTCCCAACACTTTGCTCACCGATGAGGGTCGTGGTTGGCTCAGTTCACAAATGGATGAATGGACAGCTGCACACCAGATCAAGCATGTTGTGGCGCCTGGCGAAGCTCATGAGCGTTTGGCCATTGTGGAGCGGCGACACGCCGTTATTCGCAAAGCAGTTGAAGTCTACCTCAACGATCTCCAAATGGATGGACCTGCAGCCATCCAAGAGGCCCTGAGCTATGTGATCCCACATGCCAGGTGTTGCCGGATTCTCACCTTCACAATGGGTGCTCGGCTATCAGCCCTCGCTTGCTGGTGACCTGTTGTCTGATGCCACGCAGCCTGCTCACTTTGGAGGCAACCAGACCTTTGAGGAGATGCTCACAAAGCGTCATGCCGCTCGCAAAGCCCTCAATGATGCAGATGCTGACCGACGTCTTCGAAGAGCACTTCATTTGAAATACAAGGGCATCAACTCAGAGTATGCCCTGGGTCAGCAAGTATGGTTCTGGAGAGACGCTCGCCAACCCGATTTAGTCAAGATTCGATGGTTGGGACCTGCTAAGGTCGTGATGAAGGAGCGTCGACCCAACACTGAAGACTCAGAAAGCCCTGTCTCTGTGTATTGGCTCGCCTACAAGACCCAGCTCATTCGCTGCGCACCTCATCATGTTCGAGCCGATGTACGAAACCTCAACCACTCCATCGAAGACACGAGGGATGCTCTGAACCTGGTGAGGCAGTTGAAGTCAAGAGGAGTCACTCGGTTCTATGACCTTCATCGAGTCAACCGGCAGAATTTGGCCGATGTCGAGGATGAT